TGCAATAAAGCCTATAATAATCATTTGAAAAAAGTAAAAAATTTGTACTTTTTATAAAACTTCAAAAATAAAAACAATAAACATGTAACAGCTGTTTCTAAACTTCATTTTTTGCATAATTGTATTCCTAAATTGTGTTTAACTATTAAACTGATTTTTAGGCAGCCAGGACACAGCAGGATAAATTCTGGGATTCTAGTAAAAGGTATTACAAAATGGTATTAAACTGTTCATTTTCTGCATACAAACACTAGGAAAATCCCATCAATTGAAGACATTCAGTGTTTTTACTTATATATCTAAAAATAAAATTTTGTAAAAAATTTAATTTTTCAATTGTAGAAATATGTAAACTTATTTTAAACATTGAATACACGTCTGTTTAAACCCCGAAAATGGCATCGTCACGCCACCCTCAATCGTTTAAGAATAAACCCTATTGTAGGTTTACAACTGTAGGCAGGACCAGCATCAAGTTATCCACTTTTTAAACTATATTTGAAAATGCTGTTTTTTTAATTTTACAAAAAAATTCAATTAAATCTGATAATTACAAAGTGTAAAGTATAGACCTATCTTTTCTCTTCAATAACAAAGCACACACTTTCTTTTCAAAGAAATCAAACCTAACTTTCTTTTATCAAGAAATTTCTTAAAATCTTTAAAAATGGCCACATGTGCATGAAAAAAACATCCCTTTCTGAAGACCAGTAGAAGGAAAGCGCTGTAACTGTTGTAAGGACATTCTGTCGCCCAAATAAACTGTTTATTCGGAACAGCAGGAAATCGCTTGGCTTCATCTGGCTTGAATCACACAGCCTCAGCAACGGATTATGCTCAGATTTTGTCAGAACACTTCCAGGATTATGCCAATTGTCCTTGAAGACATTTTCTCCACAGCTTTGAATGTTCCAGCTTCAACTGGTACTGCGCTGGATATGCGGAATATAGGCCTACCGAATACTCAATCATCAACCAAAAATATCCAAATAGCAGTGTTTTTTTTTTATTCACACAAAATGTAAGCGGTCTCGAGGACATGATGAAAACTGTCCGTGATGTTCTCTCAATCATGTAAGTTGAGTGGGTTTATTTCTTTGTTTGCCAAATGCCACACTTTTGTTGAAAACAAACTATTTTTAGCTCAAATATCAGCCATTCTGCTACCTGTTCTTCGTATTATTTTTAACAAGCTCTTTGTCAATTTTTGATGAGCACAGATGCCTCCACGGCCAGTTAAGGCTGGCTGCTGACGCAAGTTAAATTTCATCAACGCATTTTAAATATTGGAATATTCGATCAAGACTTGACCAAATTAGAATAATTGAACATTAAATTATCGAAAATAGCAAATAAATAAAAAAAAAAAAAATGGCCAAGTCTGAAACTCGATGTTAGTGTGTTTATCTGTAACTGTGACAAGTAACAGAAAAACAATTAGGAGCCTATTGGCAAACAAATTTAATTACTGATGTATAGCCCAAAAATAGTGATTTCAACCCAAACTTAAACAAAACAAAGGAAGTTTATGTCCCCAAAACCCAACCAAAACACCAAAACTGACACAATGCAGAATTATAGAACGAATTGCAACAGAAATGGACAATTGAAATGCTTTCTAAATTGATTTTCAACAAACTGCATCTAGTATTTATACGATAGTATATGTTTCTTTCTATTCCTGTGTATGTTTTTTTTTCTGACTGGAAACTACACTGTGAAAATAATGTGTTTGAAAGTTTCATAAAATCAGTCCATAACAAGTCTCACGCTACTAAGCATCAAAAGGTTACCAGAGTGCGTGTATTGCTTTCAACTGAAAACCATTCTGTGAAAATAGACAATTGGGTGTTTCGATACCGTGTGGAATCTTTGATACGTGTTGCGGAACTAATGACATTTTCACACACATTTCAATTCACATTGTGAACTTTATAACAATATCACCGAAGCAAAGCCGTGGCTCACTTGATTTGAATTTTTTGGGGGGGGCAGCTACTGTGCAAGTACCCGCCTAAAGATACCTTCAACAAAAACCACCCTTGCTCTGTATTAACCACTGTACAAGATAACAAATCGGGCAAATTCTTTGCCCAAAACCTAGCCTTGTTTGGTATGCACTCAGGACCCTCTCCTGAACAACTTTGAGGAACGGGGGAGAAAAAAAAAAAAGCGGGATCAAAATTCACCCCAATGAGTCCCAGCCATTGAGAGGGCAAGATAAAGGCATTCAGCAACCGAACTGGTTATCAGTGGCCGGGAGTATATAGCGCCCGACTGATACTATAGAACTAATCTGCAACATCGAGCAAAACCTGGCAACAACAGATGCCAACCCCCAAAATATAAAAACACAACAACCCGCCGCCCCACAATCAGTGTATGCGTTTGTATGTATGTATTATGTCAGATGAGGTCTGCATAAATAGAAGCCGCCTTAAAAATTATATCGGTTTGCTGTGCAAACAGTGTCCTCATTTGACCCGCCATGGAGGCGGTAAAGGCAGGCTGTGCTCCGCCGGTGTTATAAGGCCATTATGGTCGCTGCGCCTGCCCGCATCTGTGGATTGCCCGGGACTACTGGCTTAATGCTCCAACAGAGCTGTGATATTCCCCGCTCCGTGCCACAATTTGATCTTGTGTGTGTGCCATGTGGGGTCTCCATCGCTTGTGAATACAAAAGCCAAATCTCTCATGCCATAATATTGCACTCGAGTTCTTCCCCGGCACACACACACGCACAGTGCTACTGATACAATTTCTCCTGTGTGAGAAACTGTCCCATCTGTGTATATGATTGTGTGTACTCGATAATAATAAAAAGGAAAAGAAATGCGCAGCGGAATAACTGTTAACGAGTACTGCCACTCCAGTATGGAAGTGTGAAGCGGGGCACGTTTACAGTTTGAGTGCCTGTCGATAACATTACATGTAGGGGTTCATATCTTTCATCGTTTGCCGGCTATTCAAGTCCCTGGCAATATATTTTCTATAGAGGACAAATATAAATCTCCCTGCGTGATTTGTAAAAATTGTCATAGATGAATGAAAAGTACTTGCTGACATGTCTATATCATTTCTTTCCAGGAAAAGATGAACAGCAAAAATTAAATGTAGGATTTTCAAATTGTCGGGCTATCTTATACTGTGGCATGTATTTTAGTATTTTGAAGGGGGAAAAATGAAATTCAAGAATGTAGTGTCAAATGCTGCCCTTATCAGTGTGTGCGCACACACTGATAAGGGCAGCATTTGACACTACATTCTTGAATTTCATTTTTCCCCCTTCAAAATACTAAAATACATGCCACAGTATAAGATAGCCCGACAATTTGAAAATCCTACATTTAATTTTTGCTGTTCATCTTTTCCTGGAAAGAAATGTACCTAAATTCCGACAACACTTGCCACTTCTTTCTACATTTTCTGAGCTTGCAATTTCACCACATTATGAGCCATAATTTGAAACAATACTATCCCTTGGAAATCCTACATGCAGGCTTACTTTAAAAAAACAAACAAACATGTGGATTGAGAGCGCCTGGCAGTTTACACATATTTTTTCTTTCTCTGTCAGCAACTGAGGCCCCGATATTGAAAAAACATTAATGATAAACAGAAGAATCAATATGTAATATGGAAGCCGTGTGTTTACCCGTTTGATCCGATGTTTGCAAACGCACCAGATAGCAGGAAAACTGTGATAAGTAATGGTACCCAAAAATAGTCACTCAATAGTTTTAATAACACAGATGTAATATTCAGTGAAATAAATACTGCCCACGAAATCCAGTGCTCCACAAATGCTAAATACAGTAGCATATTGAATTGGTTACAATGTAGCAACAATGTAGCAACATGTAATACAATGATGCAACATTGTAATAAATAACTTGGAAAATGTAATACAATGTATGAAAGAACCAACTCAATGCAAAAGACAACACAAAAGGCTGTATAATAGCATTTAGAATGACAATCCTAATGTAATAAGAAGAAATACTGCATGACTGTCTAAAATAAATGAACACAAATTATGTGAACATTTTTCTGATAGGAATTTCCACTATATGAGTTTCCACAAGTATTGAAGTTTTTTGTCCAGGTAAATTCAGCTAAACCATCCTGAAAATATTGTAAAGCTGTGATAGGTGGGAGCACAATGTGTTTTGTTAATCTTAGGGATTAATGATGAGGTGCAAAACTGTCTTAAATTAGGCCATTGTGCTCACTTAAAAAAAGGCAAACCACAAAACGGCTTTGAAGTCTTTTCAACTAATGACACAAACCACTACACACAATGAAACACCATCAACACAGTATTTGATAACATGTAAACCCATTTTCGCCTACATGTAACAAAAACTTCAAAGCTTATGAAAAGAAATGAGACATTGATGAAGAAAAGTAATTCCAACAATTGAAGTCTTAAAATGTGATGGCAGAATAAAAAACAAGAGCATTTTTTTAAAAAGTTATACCACTTTTTTTCGGGCATGTTTGGATAATCGAACCAGTTTGAAATATGACAATCAACATTTGCTGTGAAGTTTCCCTTGCACAAAGTTGCAGTAAATCATTGTGGAACATCAAGTAAATAAAATAGAAAGCAGGATTTTAAATTTAGAAAACACATCAATCTAAAAAACCACAAGAAAACAACACTGGACCCACACCAACTTTCGCGGTATTTGGAACCGCGCAATCGCGGGGTGTCACACACCACGCGAAGGCCGTCGACCAAAAAAAAAAAAGGATAATGGCCCACACTAGACAGAGACGACCGTTTCGCAAAAAAACCGTGATAGATTGATGGGTCTCTTTTGTCATTTATGTCACATAACTCGAGCAATGAGAACTGCCTTTCCCGCCATGACAATTAGTAAACACGACGGTGGCACTGATTTGTGAATTTGTTGGGTTGAAAAGTAAAAGAATTTGGATGTTGTGGGACGGGACCGGGTAGCGTTGGCTTGGCGCACGGCCGCTCGGTCGCGCACCGTACCGGGGTTATTTCAAGACGGGGTCGGGGGATTGAGGTTGGCCCCTAACACCTTACCTGTCTTCTCCTTGATCTCACAGAGCACGCTGAATAGAGCAGGCTTCATCCGATGACAGTTGAGTGCGTGTTTTCTGTGGGGGTGAATGAGAGGGGTGACACGCCGAGTTAGTCCGGGGATAAATCACCGGTGCAACGGGAAATCCGGCTGGAAGACAGGAGGAGGGGGTATACCGGAGCGAGAAAACACTGGGAGGTGACACCGGAGCGGCGCGACCGATTGGGCCGTGGGTGCGTGTTTTGGACGCTCAAACGGCTCGTGGTACCGCGATCGCAGTATGGAAGATAAACAGAAACCAACGCAAAACATTGGGGGACCAGACAACAATCTGCTATTTTGAACATTTTGGCAGAAGGTTACACGATTTGCCTTGAAATTGGTCGTCAACTGTACGACATGCACTACACACATTACTTGCACTGCGTAAACGGGGGAACTACAAATTGGACACCCGTGTTATATACTTCCCGTTAACGGCAACGGCAAACTCACCTTGCTTGGGCCTCGTCTAAACTCTGATCCGTGATGGTCATGATTTGCTGTAGAATATCCCCAATTTCCTGCTTTCTCGCCTCCTGCGAGTGCGTGTGTTCCCCGGCATGTTGTCCCTGTTGTTGCTGGTCCACCGTGCCGTGGCTGGTGACGGGTGGCGGCTGCATACCGTGGTGAAGATTCGACAGGCTCGCCATGGATTGTTGATGGTGGGGCGAATGCACCACATGGCCGGCCGATACCGAGTGCATGCTAGGCACTAGGGCTCCCTGGTGTTGCATTAGGGACCTTTGTTGATCGTCCATGTCCTGACAGAAGAACGGGAGGGAAAACACACGGCTACGTGCACCGATCGTCGCAGCACCATACACGGCTCACGTCGGACCCGTCTTGCTCAATCGGTTTCACCGCCGAGATTTTGTGGATCCTTCGGGTTGACAGCTCAAGCACGTGGATGAACGGGGGGATTCACAATGTACGGACGTAAACGTAGTAAAGAAAGGAGCCGATGAAATGTTTTTATTCTGCTGTGATGTGTGGAGGTGGGATGAACACGGCTTGACGGCCACAAATGCCACTCAAATCTGCAGACGTGTCAAAACCCAAGCCGCCATGCCCCGCCCTAATACGTAAATGACGGTTGCCACGGACGACCAACGGGACTTCTATTCGCTAGCAGGTAAAGTCCATGTTTGCTTTCTGTGCGGAGGGGTCAAATAGCAGAAGCCGTTTCGCTTTGAAACAGCCAAGACAAACCCGTACATTTTAGAATCGAGTTTTATATGGGTAAACACGGTGACTAGTCAGTCGGAAAACATCAGGGCATTGAAAGAACTCTCCATAATATAACCAATTGCCGTTACTGTCACGCGCTGATTAGAACGACACCCCTAATCGAAAGTTGAGCTGTCTATTCATGTATAATGTAATGTCGTAGGCTCTGATTTTTGTCTTGAAGATAAAATTAGTAATGGATAATTAATAGACGTGATTGAAAATGCATTTGTCTGTCAAGGCTGATCACGCCTATTGTTATGCGGCTCATACTCAATGTGACACATTACGCGTAACGATTGGTTCAGTTGTAAACAGTTATTTTCTTCCGTTATTCATATTTTGTGGGCGGTATATTTGAAATTGGTTAATTTACATATCTGTTAATTAGGCCGTCGAATTTGAACTGAGTTAAAATTTCGCGGACATTGTTAATTGATCAACGCAACGTTGCTATTTCTTTCTTCTTTTTGTTGGGAGGGGGACAATTTTCAGCTCGTCTCCAGCTGTGGTTTATGTTTGCATGGAAGATGGAGTAAAGTCAAAAATATTATGTCTAATATTAGCCTATGTATGTTGAACATTCTGAGAATGTATACATTTTAAAGTTGAACTTTTTGGTTCCGCCTCTTTGAAGGCGGTTGTATGCATGGCGAGAATGTAATCAAAATGAAAGTAAGCCAGTGCGTGACTAATGTTACTAACTTACTGTTTTTTGTGTCAACCCGTTCAAAACAACAATATTGCATATCCTTTTCGGTTATTAAGTTAACCCTGTGTCGTGTCTGCAGTTTCAAAGAACACGCAATTATCCAGGAAAAAAGGGAAGATAAAAAAATAGGCACGAGCGTTTTGGACAAAAAAAAGTATAGACCTGCATAACACGTGTGGCTAATTTAAAGCAGACGGCGTTTTAGTTCAGCGTGTCGGCTCTAATGTGGACCCGTGTAAATTGTGGTCCCTTGCTTTTCGGAATATCCCGTCCGGAAGAGGTTTCTCTTTGAACTGTCGGCTGCAACATCGAGCCTGATCCGTCTTTTCTGGTCAGACAGGAATACAGGTATTAGGGCATTGCACGTAATAATATGACTGATGTACACATGTACATGTATACATGTGCGGTATAATAGAGACTCGGGAAACTGGGGACTTAGTCAATTGAACAAACACGGGAAAGTAAAACCCATGCGTCAGGTCCATAAAGATATCATATGGCCCGCATGTGGAATGTAATAAACTTCTTTTAGGTTCATACAGTTTTTTTTTTTTACATGTCGTAGGTGCAAAAAAAATACAGTATGACTATGAGGAAATATAAACATCAGATCAACAGGCTACTAAATTCTTAGTCTGGTAAAAAAGTTTATAAAACGAAATAACACTGAGAATGGATGCATTACCCGACGCCGGGATTTTGTTCTTGACTTCTTCTCTCGGGAATTAGGCAGGTTACACAAAATAATGGATATGTGTAAAACTTACTAAAATATTACTAGAAGTAGAAGAAGAAAAAAACATGTCCAAACGGGGTGTCGAAAAAAAGAAGAAAATAATGTGCTACCATCGCGTATTAAACGGGTTCTCTGTTTTCAGTCGTCTTACAAAATAACGTCTGAAAAAAACCAAAACTCTACTTTTAAGTATCATTTTTTGTGTTAGCAAATTCCAACGACACAGCAACATGAAATGCAACGCTTATTTACTGAAAATAATCTACCCCTTAAAGGAAATGGAACACGCCTATGTAATATTAATTAGGTGATGCATGCTGGGAAGCAAGATGGCAGCTCACGGTAGGTCAAAATGATCTGAGATTTTCTCTACGCGTATATTTTTTAGACATAAACGGCATTTTCAGTGATCAAATAAGACCGTTTGAGATTTATTTACAATAATATGTTCCATCATGTTAAGTTGATGATGTAAATGCAGTTGATTGTTGTCTGGATTTGTTGATAGCCCCGTTGATCACGACTGAATACACCTGTTTTTAATCATTGTCACTCATTGTCAGTGCACTTGTTTGTCACCTGTTTACATGCATTGTACGTATACTATATTGTACATGATGTAGTGAAAAAAGGGGGCGATTTCAAAGCGAGTGCACCCACGGAACGGTTTACTATATCCTTTATTTGGAAAGATTCCCATGTCTGGCCATCACTAATTTTTCCCTTCAGTGACCTACCATCCATCAGAAATTGATAATGTCCTAACAAAAGTCAAATTTAGCAAGGACAATATTGAAGTATAAACTGAGAAAACACTTAGAATTTTCAGACCAGTCTCATACGGTTTGTGCACAGGGTTACAAGTGATGGCCACATATGGAAATCTTTCCCTTTATTTAGTATGTGCTGTCTCAATTGTGTACATGGTGTGTCTGTTTTCCTTCTAGTAGTAGCCTACTATAGCATGCCAATTTTGCCAAAGTTTAATGATTGATAATCAAATCACAGTCAAAGAGAAATTTATTGATTATTTTTATTTTTACATGAATGTTCAGAAGATTTCATGATGTACTGATAATGTTCCTGAAATTTGATTGTGGTTAATTCATAACACATTTTCAAAGTTTTCATCATTAGTACACATACACAAAGAATAAGAAAATTATAATATTTACTTAAAAAAAACCCAGAAATGTGAATGGAAGTCAATATAGTCATTGGTAGGCAGGCCACAGTGTTTAAGTACACTTTTGTTTACCCTGGCCGGTTTGGAATGTTATATTGTCCTTGTTTTCTGTCCCTCTATCTCTTCTCCCCTGCCAAACTGTCCATCCTCCCTTCCCTCCCCCCCCCCCCCTCGACCCATTTCTTCTCACATCCTTCAGTCTTGTCTGGTCATACTTTTTCAATTTCCAATTTTGTTTACTTTTTGATATATCTCTGCTTTGTCATTGTACTTTTGTTCATTTGTTGGCCGAATAAATAATAATAATAATATACTAGTGGAGTACTAGTACTACTAGGCGTAATGCTATTTTATTTTATACAACACCTGAATAAATCCCCGTCATCTGATTGGTGAATTGTAGATCACGTGACATATTATTATTCGGTATAAAGCACGGTGCGACCATGCGTTATACCCGTGCGTTATACCGTTTCACTTTGCGCTTGTTCCATGACGCGGTATTTGCGTGCAAAATGCATGCTGGTGTGCGCGTTCAGCGTAGCGCGTATTGTTCCAAAGAGCCAGCGCTACAGCGTTGGGTTCAAACATTTTCGTGAAGGGGTAGTTCAACATCTTTAAAATCAAAATAAATTGTAGTTTATAATTTACCAATCAAATGACGAGAATTTATTCAGGTGTTGTATAAAACAAATAACGAATGTTTTACGTTCGTGCGATGGAAAGAATAATTTCATTCGGTGACAGATTGAATGTTCTATTCCACTCGGCTTCGCCTCGTGGAATAGAACATTCAATCTGTCACCTCATGAAATTATTCTTACCATCGCACTCACAAATATTCGTTATTTGTATAATAACACATGTGCAGTTTTCAAATTACCAAGCAGTGCTGCACGTACTTGATTTTTGATGGCCTACATAATTTTTCATGTATTTATCGTGTCAACAAAACTTGATCGCTTTATCAATTTTGTTTATTGATGTTTTACACAGACATTTGGTTGTACTTTACAACAATTTAATTAACGCTGATGCATGTCAACATTTCCACACAGTCTGCACAGACCATGGGAAATTGTACTCATCCGCAGTCTATTTGCAAACTGAATCTTGGTCTTTCTTTTCTTTTCAGAAATCAGAAGACCTCCACTTCTGTAAAAGGAAGTAACATGATGCTGTCAGCTCCTTCCCCCATCTGGCTGGCCTGTTGAGTCCAATCAAGAACGTTGATGAAGTCTATTAAAACCTTATGATTTCTACGGTCTACATTTCGCAGAGGAAGCGTTTAAGTCCACCGAGGATCGATTGGACCAGACTGATAAGGAAAAAACACCTTGTAACAAAATCTGTGTTATTTCTACTATATTGGAACAATACTTGTCTAGAACAGCTTTAGAGTTTTTGCATCATCCCGTCAGGGATCTGTAGTGTCCGAACTGCAAGAAAGAAAAAAAAACCTTTCTAAGATGTGTGGCTTGTGATAGAGTTCAGTTATAATATTGTCAATCATAACGTACTGGAGCATAAATAGAAACAACAAGATGGCTCTTTTGGACGACCCAGCGTTTATCATCGCCCACATCCGGCACTCCTTCATCACCAGCGATGACACTGGGATGTGCGAGATGGCCATCATGAATGAGGACCTGGACTGGAAGGAGAGGAGGCAGGAAGCCTTGGACCGGAGGAAGAAGCCCTGGGCCCAGTACTACAGCATGGATCCCGATCAAGGTAGGAGTTACGTCTAGCAAGACTTTTAGGAAGACTAACTAAAGATGTAGTCAAGCAAATCAAAAGTCAGTGAGATGACAAGTCACATCACAAGGAATGGTGCCACAGGTAGCATTGTACTTGAAGTCCATCATACATCCAGTTGCAAGTCCTCGTGGGAAAGGATGTAGTATCCAGACGCCACTTCAGTGGTTGTGTACAGTGGTTGTGATGAAAAAAATGGGGTCAGGATGCAACATTCTTTCCCTCATGAGTCCATCACAAGTCACCTAGTCCCCATTCCAGTCACGAGTGGTAAATCAAGTGAACTTTGACAAAAGCAATCCGTTGTTATTATTCACCCACTGTTGCTTGTGACTGGACTTTTGATTTACTTTTGACTAAACTTGTGATGGACTCGACTACAACATTGGCCACAGGGATGGTGGGATTGGTGGTAAAAGCAATTTTCTCTTAGTCTTAGAAAGCTAAAACAAGAGAAAGAAGCCGGTTGTCCATACTACAAGCATGAATCCTTATCAATGGAAGTTCAGAAGACTTATTAAGTACTACACTAGCTCTGTATCTGGAAAATTTGGAATGAGTGCAAGATGGGATTGTTGGACTCGTGGTAGAGGTAATTCACTCTTGATTAGAAAACCCATGACAGGAGGCGGCAGCCATGGTCACAGCAGTACCCGTGTGTTGATCCTAATCAAAGTAGGAGCAAGGAAGACAGTTACAATCTCTCTCCAGAGGGATGGTTAAGGTGTGAGATGGGATCGCATGATCAGATGCTAGAATCAATTCCATGTAGAAACCTTGGGCAAGAGGAAGAAGCCCTGGCCAGTGGTCACAGTGCCAAGGGCAGACCTAGAGAGGTTACTGCTGGGGGGGGGGGTCTTTCAAAAGAAGGACTCTCTCAAGTGAAAAATGGACTAATTTGATAAAATTTTGGTCACTGCCGGGGGGGGGGGGGGGGGCCTCTACATCCCCTGGATCCGCCACTGAGTGCTGCGGCAATAGCAGCATGGCCTGATCAAAGTAGAAGTTTGAGGAGGACTTAACAGAGTTGTAATCAATCACAAGTCAAATTTCAAGTCGTCAATTCATTCATGGAACAGTGGATGGACGATGACTAAATGATGCCTTTGACGTTGTTCGTTTGAATAGCTTGTTATGTGGAGCGCTGTGGTCACGGAGCACTGTGGTCCAATAGTTACAAGTGGTGCGTGGTTCGAACCCTGATGGGGGTACATGGTGCTTGGGTTCCTGGGCAAGACACAAAAGGCAATTATCGATCTTTGCGAATCGGAAGAACAAATCGCAACAACAATACTACAATTGCCTCTCTCTCCCCAGGAGTGTAAATGGGTACCTGTGAAGGTAGAGCTCAGAATGCGCTGATCGCACAGACCAGATAGGAGAGTGTGATTTATACAGAGAGGTTCTGAGGGGTTTTGAGATGCACTAAAATCCCTTTGTCTTTAATGAGCTGATAATTATAAAGAGAACCTCTGGTCTCAGCCCAGTGCACAGCACAGGTTAAGATTAAGGTAGGTACTATGACATGCATGAGGTATTTCACCTCTGTGGTTGACTTGAGTTACATGAAGATCTGGGTCTGATGGAGGGCCAGAAAGAAGGACGATACAAAGAAAGTTGGCCAAGGAGGTTAAAAGCCATGATATCAATTGATATTCACAGTGTAGACTCTGTATAAGAAGGGTACTAGGAAGTCAATAATGTCATCAGTGGGTGGGTCTTAAGATGTATCAAGGATGCCGAAGGAGAAATGGGTGTAGGGGTGCTCAAGTTCAGCTCAACAAGTCTCTCATGTCCAGGATAAGGAAGCCTGGGACAAAGGGAAAGCTGTGGATATACTAGTGCATGTAGTTGCAAGTCATGACAGGGCCAGGATATGAAAGGCTTGCCAGACATCCTTGAAGACATTGGTGTCTGCTTGCCCTGTTTGTTGCCTATAGGGTGTTGTCTTTATATGATTTCATAATCCCAATTTTCCTGGTCTTTTTGTTTGAATTCTTCCTGAATCGCCCAAATCCATTTCTGTGCAGGCAGTAAATGCAGTAAATTGCTTATGCTGTTGTACATAGGTTGAATTTGTGTGTTAGTTCCAACCTGTGTCTCAGTGTGCTAGGCACAACATCTTATGGGTTCCATGCACAAGTACCCCCACAACGGAAAGAAAGGGAGATTTGGGGTTCCTGACCACTGGAAGAGACGTTTGAACGCTTTGCCGAAGACACCTGATAATCATGCGAAGACGCTACAACTTTATCCACATTCAGAATAAAATTAGTCATGCGTACTTTGCGCTATGCCCGTGTGAACCAGTAGGCGCACGCAGTGGTGTCACGTCCACTTGTCTCTCGAAATAAGTGAAAAAAGTGCCCTCTCTTGTCAGCGCATGGAACCCATGGCACGTCTGGGGCCATTAGGCTTGCCTTTTTTTCTGGTTCTCTGTTACAAAAATAAAATGCAATGAAAACTTCTCTGGCATGCAAGAGGTCATGGGTTCGAGTCCAACCCAAGGAAGATCAGTTAATATTATTGACAAGTTTGCAGATATTGCACGTCATGGATCATGGTCTTTGTGGAGCATCAATGTTATTGTCCAATAAGCTTACACAAATACTGACCAAGTCGGCTGCAGTCCATACAATGCTTGTAAGTCGTGGACAAGTTCAGAACGCCGTCCTGTGTGTGTGTCACACCACACTTTGCTCTCAGATCTCCCAGTGATATTGGTTATCTCTTTTGCCTGTTCTGTTTACATAATTATCTTCCAAGGGAAGCTGCTGTGACGTGTCTGTGAGCTATTTTCACCTCCGTGGCAGACTTGATGGATGGGCATTTATCAACATTTTTATCTGTAATCACCAGAGGAAATTTGGGCCATGTGTATGACATTTTCGGTTCACATGGACTGAGATGATCCACCCTTTTTCTTAATTCCTTAATTCCATATTTCAAGATTTCTTGAAGAGGCGAATTTCCTGTCCCGTACCACACTACGCTCATCTTGCGAAAACAGCAACAAGCTGCGGAAACCAACTTTAGGAAACCAGACTTTTTGATTAGGTCTAGCTGCTTTAAAAGACAGGTAGAATTGTGAGAATAAACATGGCCAAGCGAGTGCAAAGACACACGTATGTAAAAGCCACTTAAGGACTGTGAAACATTTAACAATTGTTGACTGCACTGTAATGTGGAATATGGCGTTTTCAACGCCCGAGGGGCACATCAGGTTAAAAACGACATATCCCACATTACAGCAATTTTTAACTCACTTTTCAAGAAATAAATTAAATCACTGCAGTTTTAACCTGTCGATTACTGCGAGCTTTCCTGCCAGACATGAGATTGAGAGGCTGCAGTTCTTAGGGGTAAGCAGGCCCTACACACGCATCGTTCACATGCATGCAATACATGTATTTATGCAACGCAGTGTATATATGAAGTAATTTACATGCAACGCAGTGTATACAAAGTAAACAATCATTTTAAATGTGGCCGTTCTAAAATGAAATTACAGTATCCAAGACACGTTACAACATACATTTTGTTTCCCTACAACTGAAAAATAAACAAGTACACATACTTATAAAAAAAATTGTAGTTTTGAAGAAACTGTTTTAAAGCAATATGAAATTTGTTGGCTTGCGTAATTATATAGAATGAACTTTGTATAACGGAGGGTAAATGGGAAAACCTGTTTGGGTGAAGGAATGATTAATAATGTACATTGCCGTGAAACATGCATTATAACACTGCTTGCCTCTGCTTGTAGAAAAATATAAACCATGTAGGATAGTATATGTCTATATGAAGAGTAAGTTTCCAAACACGGTAACACCATTTTGTTAATAACTTGAACACTTACCCTGCTGAATCCAACAGGATCCAACTATATCACCCATTGAAGCCTGTTGGATTGAGCAGTAAACTACTTGTACAAATGTACACATACAATATTCAGAGTCGGATTCTGTTGGGTGCTGATAAATAACGCCAAGTTGGACTCTGTTGAATCCAGGAGACAACTAAAAATTAGGCACAGTTGGATTCTGTTGGATTGAGCAGGAAGAAACTGTTGGATCCTGTTGGATTTAGCAAGGTAGTCCTGAGGTAGTCCCGGCCCTAACCCAAAGTCAGTTTTTACGGTTATTTTATAGTTAAACACAGTTTAAGAATATTATACTGTGAAGCAAAAAATGCAGTTTAGGAACAACTTTTATTTTGTGAATGTTTGACAAGTTTCAAAACCGTGCAACTTTTTCATTATTTTTTTCAAATGGTTTTCATGTTTTGACAATAAACTCTTCATATACAGGGTGAGTAAAAAAGAACGAAACCCAAATGTCGGGACCATTGTTTTAGTGAGGATCTGAATGTAGCACTTTCAAAATCTAGGATGTGAAAGCTCAATTCATAAGCTTTCTTTTAGTACAAGAATCATTCAAATCACTCACAGACTTTTAAGCACAACCACCGTTTTTAAGTTCTGTCCACGGATCACAAAAAGGTACATGTAAGTGTTCTTTCAGCAGAATGAATACAAATCACATATGGATGTGTGTGAATTGTTTTTGTTTTGCTGAAAGAATGCACACCTTTTCTGTGATCCGTGGACAGAACTTTGAAACGATGGTTGTACATGTATTTAAAATTCCGTAACTTGAAAAGTACATAAGTGATTTGAATGATTCTTGTACAAAAAGAAAGCTTATGAATTGGGCTTTCATATCCTAGATTTTGAAAGTGCTATACATGCAGAACTTCACTAAAACAATAGTCCCGACATTTGGGTTTCGTGTTTTTTGACGCACCCTGTATGTAGATGTTTCAGAAGACAGGTGCGTGCTGAATGTTTCATAATTGAACTTCACATGAATTGCATTTGTTTGTCTTAGCGGTGACATAAAAAGAAGTATGGTGAGATGAAAAGTGTTACCCGTCCTGCAGAAAGCACACACATAATGTTTGGTTTTCCGTTATTT